GCATTCGGATATCTGCAAATACTTTCCTTCCTCCTATAAAAGCAAACAAGGAACTGAATTTGAAAACCAAAATAAGGATAGTAAATTCTTAAAAAGAGACAGTTCTTTCTCCTTGGAGACAAACCAAATTATGCATTTGCTTCTCTCACCAACAACATACTCTGGCTCAAACATTTTTAAAAGAAAGCTGCTGAACATCTGCTGAGCAATTAATGGGATGCAGCAGCATGCTGTAATGGTCCCTGGGAAAGTATTAGCAATCCTGCTTATGAGACATGAAATGTTGCTAACAATGGTTCTTTCTTTTTTCCCATTTTTAATTTTTATTTTCTCCTGCCTGAAGGGGGGATGTGAGAAGGGAAATAGAGTTGAGGTGGAAGTTCTGCATCTAATATTCCTCCTCACTGTTTCTCTTTCTTTTTTCAGGCTTCCTCCTCCTTCTCTCCCTAGCCACCCAAATATTGTGTTAATTTCAACCTAATAAAAGAAACTGTGGTGGCTCACGCCTGTAATCCCAGCACTTTGAGAGGCTGAGGTGGGCAGATCACTTGAGCTCAGGAGTTCAAGACCAGCCTGGGCAACATGGTGAAACCCCGTCTCTACCAAAAATACAACAAAACTTAGCTAGACATGGTGGCATGCATCTGTGGTCCTAGCTACCTGGGAGGCTGAGGAGGGAGGATGGCTTGAACTCAGGGGGCAGAGGTTGCAGTGAGCCAAGATCACGTCACTGCACTGCAGCCTGGGTGACCAGGTAAAACACTATCTCAAAAAAAAAAAAAGAAAAGAAAAGAAAAGAAACTGTGGCAAGTGTCTCAGCCCACTGATACCCTACCAAAGTGCTAATTTTTCCATGAGTGAAAGGGGAACTCTCTTCACTGTTTTTTGTGTATGTAGGGTCTACCACCCTATGCAAATAGTTCAATCAGGTAGCTAGAGGTAACTTACGAGCAATCTCCAACAAGGAAAGGATGCCTCACAAATTTTACTTCCTTATCACAATTGTTGTTCCAGTTGACACAATTTGTCTTTTGCATATAAAAATCTATCCCAGAGTGATATTCACCTGTGGATACTGCCAGTTTTAACACGTTATGATCATCATAGCCAAACTCAATATAGCAAAAGTTTCCAAGACTCAGTTACTCCATGAGATTACCTTCATGTACTTATCAAATTGGAGCTAATTGTCCACATATAAATCTATATCTACTTCTGTTGCTGAGCTAGCCAGGACAAAATACATAGTAATGCCAGTTGATCAGGCTTGGACTTGTACAGCCAAAAGACCCTACTATTGAAACTAACAGGAAAGGTGTCTACAATGGTTGGAAGTCAAATAATTTTCTCACTATCTCCAAATTGGTCCAGGCTAAGAATGGGCTTTTACTTGGAAATGAATTTTTTTCCCCCTTTGGTGACCTAGTGTTACACACATCTATATTGCAAGGGGTTCTTCTTCAAATCTCAGCATGCATATCTAGGTTCCCAAAATATACCTCATTTTTGCCAGCCCTTCTTCTCAGGAATCTGAGTCCTGCTTTCCAAACTCCTAGTTATAGAATAAACTACAAATATGAATTGGAAACATGTTTTAGTTCTTCCCAGCTTTGCATTATTTTTGCCATCTGGAGTTTCTACCAGTGGGATTAACCTCTCATGGTTATCAGGAATTGACTTCCCTTCCCACAAGGAGCATAAATCCAAGGGCCTTTGGATGCCTTTGCTATATTCAGTTTCTCTGACCAAGCCAACTGGCCAAGCCAGTCTTAGCTAATTACCCACTTTTTGATCTCAATATTTCAGCTTCGTCCCAGGTCTAAACCATTTGTCATTGAAGAAAGTGTTCTTAAGTAACATTTAAAGTAAGATTTCATTTTTTTTAAAATACCACTTCTCCCTAAAGTTATGGTAACATATCAATCTTTTAAATTGTTTTAAATTTACAAATAACAATTATACATATTTATGGGATACATAGTGATGCTGTGATACATAAGCATCGTGATCAGATCTGGGTAATTAACATATCCATCATCCCAATCATTTCACTTCTTTGTGGTGGGAACATTCAATATCTTCCAAAATAATCCTGAACCATCTTTAGAGTGTAATGCAATAATCAGTCATATAAAAACCAGGCACAGATGGAGAAGAAGTATGGAGGAAGAAAAAGAGAGAAATGAGAGTGGCCTCCAGAAATGAAGAATGGGAGAAGTGGGGTTAGTTCTCCGCCTAGCTTAACCTCCAGTGCTCTCCTGTTCAACAGAGGGAGGTCTCTGGTAAACCAAAAAGGAACCGTTTTCTGATATACCAAGCCTAAAGATAGTGTTCATTCAAAAACTGGTTATGTTGTAAAAGCAAATTTTTCATCACAGAGGATGGACAGGTTGGCCACATCCCTTCAAACAGACTTCAGTGTGGAATACCAAGCTTAGTTGTTTTTAATTTCTAAACTCAAAGGGACCAAGTAGTGGATAATGAGGTTCAGGCTAGACGGTCTGATAAGATTAAATAAGTTAGTGAATCTTTTTAAACCAGTGTTCAACAGTTACTTTCTACTCAGTTGACAACATTTGTCAGTGGCTTGGCTATTAGGATGACTACAACTCTTATTTCTGAAATTTGATCATTCTCCCATACAATGAGTCATATGTGACTCTGCCACATGCTACCCCCGTTCATCAAACACCAATGCTCAACACTCTGAGTAGGAAAAGGCCAGTCAAGATCTTCAAATGCCTTGAGATAAGTTGGCAGCCTGTTCTTCAGAGAATTTTCACCACACGATTCAGAAAGCAGCTTTTACCAGCAAGAGTAGTTTATGAGGGCAGAGACTCTGTCCCTAGTGCTGACAACATTGCTTGGCCCAGAGTAGGCAGCCACTTGATAAGTATCTGTTTAATGGATGTGTTAGGATGACAAGATGCAGAACAGGAAATAAGCCCTACTCAATCCTACTTGCCCCTTGCAGTCATCTTTTTCAAGGGACACTCTAAATCAGTCACACTTCTGTTCTAAGGTCTCAATGGCTTCTTAGACCTTTGATGGCTCATTCTGGCATGTTTCTACCCTCTACACCTCCATACCTCATGCTGAGGAACAGTGACTGTTAAATATTTATTTCTTTAAAATAGTGGAATTGAAAAAAACAAGAACAATAAAATCTTATATGTGATCCAATAAAGAAAAAAGATAAAATCCAAGAGGGGGAGAGGTCAATGGCCAGCCTACTTGGCCTTCTGCTCAACCTAGCAGCAGCCTCGTCAAATCTCGAGGAAACCAGAGAATGGTGCTGGTAATAGCTACTTTTTGTCCTCACTTGTTCAGCATCCTCAAAGCCCTTTAGGCTTTCTTTCTTTTTTTTTGATGCTTTGGTGCTTAGAATGACCTCTTGCATTTAATCCTGTCCATCCTTTAAGGTTCTTCCTCAAAAACTCCTACTCCATAAAACAATCCTATATCATTTTGACAGGATATATCTCATCTCTGCTTTAAATTTTCTATACAACTTTAGGTAATAACAAGAGTAAAAATAAATATTACAGCTATGTTCCAGACACTATCCTAAGTGCATTACCTGAATTAACTTAACCTTCACACAATCCCACTGACATAGATGCTATTACCATCTCTGAGACACACAGAAGTGAAATCTCTTTCCTTCTGTGGAAAGGATTACAGAGTGAGTAACAAAGCCAAGATCGAAACCAATGCTCTGACTGGAAAAACAAAATCCAAGTGCTTAAAGATGCTACATAGCCTCTCTCTCTATAAGAATTTAAGCAGGTTACTCATTGACTGCCCCCCCACTGCCTACTCCTCCCACCCCACAGTACCACTGCCATTGTGTCATCAAACTTCCCCACACCACAACCAGGTTATAAGTTTTGTGAAGACAAAGACCTTCTCCCGCTGATGTTTTCACTCCGTAGAGCACCAGCATGGTACTCTGCAAAAATAAGTACTCAATAAATACTCTTACTTTATGTTATTATTAATACATCCCAACAATATATATATTTCTAAATGCTTGTGTTATAATTAAAAACTATTCTAAGTTACTTGTGTTAGTATCTATTCTAAGTAAGTTGTGTTTTCATTGAAAACTCTCCATAAGCTTAAACGGATCATCCCCCATCGTTATCACCACCTTTTACAGGTGAAGAGATGGAAGCTCAATGACATTAAGTAAATTGTAAGATTATGACCAATTCCAGGTTCAGTTCCTGGGTATGACCCTGTACCACTCCTAAGTTCCTGCTATTTCTACTGCACTAGATTATCCAGAAACTTAAAGAAGCAAATTTTTTGTAGCATGAATATACTGAAAATAAAACTTTGCAGAAAGCCCCCACAACAAAATGTATTTGTATGGTTAATGTTATTTTCGAGATTGCTGTTGAGATAAATGAAGCGTGCTTTCATGTGAGATGTATCTATATGGCTCACTGACAGTTTTTGCTAGAGGCTAAGTAGAAAGTGTCACTTTTTTTTTTTTTTTTTTTTTTTTTTTTTTTTTTGAGACAGAGTTTCACTGGGTCACCCAAGTTGCAATGTAGTGGCGCGATCTCAACTCACTGCAACCTTCGCCTCCTGGGTTCAAATGATTCTCTTGACTCAGCCACCCAAGTAGCTGAGACTACAGGCATGTACCACCATGCCCAGCTAATTTTTGTACTTTTAGAAGAGACAGGGTTTCGCCATGTTGGTCAGGCTGGTCTCGAACTCCTGACCTCAAGTCATCCACCCGCCTCGGTCTCCCGAAGTGCTGGGATTACAAGTGTGAGCCACCATGCCCGGCCAAAAGTATCACCTTTTTCTGTGGTCTAATCGATCCTCCATTAAGGTAGAAACACCAAGGAAGGGAACCTTCAAGATCTGATGACCAATTTCTGATCAGCATTGTTACCATCTAGCCTTTTTATGAGGAAGAAAGCACAGACTGGGATTCCCTTTACCAGAGCCACCAGCCAGAACCCAGGCACATGGACACTGACCTGCCGTTAAGTGAGCAGCATGGACCAGGACTTGGACCCCTGGCTTCAGCTCAAAGTGTACTGAGTTTTGGTTGAGCTTGTGGATCAGCAGTTCTGATATCTGAAAACAGAAGCATAGTTAGTGCCACCGAAAGTGTCATACTGATTACAAACAAATATGCTTAGAAATATTTACTATATTCACCAAGGATCACAATTATTATATCTGCAAGTTATATAAATAAGGTTTATATGACTTTGATTTTTTTAATTCCAGAATATGCAGATACAATTATTTTTAGCATGACCTGCCTTTATGTGCTAATTGCTACAAAATAGGAGAAACTATTAGTGAATGAAAACAATTATATTCTTAAAAAATTATTGTGTATGATCTTAGAAAACTTACCCCTAGTCTTTTGAGAGAACATTTGTTATGCATAAGGACTTAAAAGAAGTAGATATATACAATTTACACATTCTAAGATTTACATAAATTTATTTTAGTTCCATTCTCTTTCCCAAACCATGTGATTTTCACAAAACACTTTATGAATATTTATTCTATGGTAAATATAGTTCTGCTAATTCAGAATTGCAGCAAAGTACAGCCATAACATAAGTAGCAAATTGGCTAACCTTTATTTCATGCTTATAAATATTATCTAAACTGCTTCTCAGGTTGACACATGTGTACTGGCAGACCAATGGAATTCTTGACTATGAAATATTTAACCCCAGGTATGGGATAAATAACTTCGTTTGGATAGAAATAGTGTAAGGTAAGGTTTTATTGTTGAGGTAACACTGTTATTTTTGTTCAGATTAGAAAACCTAGCTCCATTTGCTGTTTCTTTTATAATTTCAAGGAATTTCTGGAAAGCTACAGGGATATTCTTACTGCTATTATTTTAATCTCATCTGCTAGCCCTATTTTTAATATTCAAATCATCAATTTAATATTTTACTTAACATGTTAGTCTAATTAGATGCTTTCTGACCATCATGCTGCTAATTAAGTTCTTAACTTTTTTTCCTTTTCTATTTGTTGTTTTACTTATTCCAGTGAGTTGCCAAAATGACACCTTTAATCCCTTTACTTGCTCAGTAGGTCCTGATGGCTTAGTTTGGAAGCAGAAAGTTACCTGCAGAAGCCCCTGATTGGCAGCAGAACTGAACTGCCCCACAGATAAACTTCTCTCCTAAACAACAGGAACAGATGATGACCGTCACTGCCCAGTCACTGAGCACCTGGGATCCAGTGCAAGCCCAGCTTTTCAAATGCTGTCATTAAGCAAACAACGCAGAAAAACAAGATGGTGATAAAACTATGTTGAAAACAAAACCGACTTTATTCTGTATATTAGGCTACTTCCTTTGTTGGGGGCTGGGAATCATCCAGAATGATCTAGGTTTACAGACCTGGATTTCTGGTCAGGCGTGGTGGCTCACTTTGGAAGGCTAAGGCAGGTGGATCACTTGAGTTCAGGAGTTTGAGACCAGTGTGGACAACATGGTGAAACCCTGTCTCTACTACAAATACAAAAAATTAGCCGGGCATGGTGGTACACACCTATACTCCCAGTTGCTCGGGAGGCAGAGGCAGGAGAATTGCTTGAACCCAGGAGGCAGATGCTGCAGTGAGCCAAGATCACGCCACTGCACTCAAGACTGGGCAACAGAGTAAAAAACTCTGCCTCAAAAAAGAAAAACAAAACAAAACAAAAAAACACACACACAAAAAAAAGAAGTGGAAAAGTGTATTTCTAACCCAGACTGCATAGTTTTCCTCTGTGTTCTTATCCTCTGCTTGTTTTTAATTTTATTTTTTTTTTCATTTTTGTGTGTTCTTATCTTTTAATTGGCAGAATCTTTATAGGAACTAGACAGTGGATTTTTTTAGAGAGGTCTATCACAAAAGTTTTAGCTATGAAATAGACACACATACATGCACACAGACAGATACAGAATTGCAGGAAAAATATTTTTTATTTAAATATGAAAAACTTGTCAAAAGTAATTAAGGAATTTGCCTGTTTTGCCAAATCTATCACATGGACTAAAGGGAACTATGTGTATTTGTGGGAGAAAGACTCTCCACCTTCAACCAGGTGAAGCATTATTTATTTCTTATCACTGAGAATGTTTTCTCTTCAAGTGTGAGATATATGGAGCTAAACCAGGAAATGGAGTTCATCAAAACAATGTATTTAATTTATAAACTCCAGGAGAGACCCTTGCAAGAATAATTAACTACTTGGGTTTGTTTCAGTTTGTAACATTGTTTCACTGGCTCTATCTGTATCACTTACAAAATTTTAAGAAGGAAATTTAAATTTAAAAATTATCTGGTAACAGAAAGTATGTTTCATATATTTAACTTGCATCAAAGGACATACAACAATGAACACACACTTTGCGGGAAAAAATATGCATAAGAAACAAAACTAAATGAAATTTACACTGCATACAAGAATAATCTCAATTAGAATCATGTACTGTTCTACTGAAATAAATGAGTATGAAACTGTTGACAGATTTTGACAATATTTTAAATGTTTTCCACAATACTTGTAGAAGTGTTTATCCTGTATTTTTTGAAAAGATTACAAGTTGTTACTTATATTCTAATGTGTATTATGCATGCTGTGAAGACTATTTTGGTAAAGGTGATTATTTCTTACTATCTTTTCTAGTAGAATACATCTTAGGTGTTAATGTTGGCATCTTCCTGGAAAGGATCATGGAGCTTAAAGGAAATACCAAATACTTATTCAGTTAATATTTGAAGAGTTGAGACTAGACTAGCTTTGTTTGACTCCTAATCCTAGGGTATCTCCATTAAAAATATTTTCCTTGAACAAGCTGACAAAGACAGAGACAGCAGGAGATAGCTGGAGAGAAGTCTAGCAGAGTAGGTTTACAAGATGAGAAAATACAGCATTTTTATTAATTATGTTGCCATTTCTCATTCATCTGTGAAACACCCAAGTTAAAACATCAGCCCCAGTGATCAATACGGGCTACAGGAGTAGCCATTTCCTAACACCATCCTTAGAGGGCCACGTTCTGTTCACCAGTTACGTGATTGGTAATACCCGGGAGAGTCTTCAGCTATGGAAAGGAGCAGAATAAACTGCTTTCTACTGAAAAGTACAGTGACAGCCTAAATGAGAAGAGCAAACACTTGCCTGATACTCAAGTGAAATGCTGTGTGATTTCTAGGAGAGAGACTGAACCTACTAAGGCAAATTGAATTCATTTCCTTTTCTTTTTCTGTCTGGTGAAAAGCGTGTTGGCTTAACAAAAAATTTCATTTATTCTGTATACAGTCATCCCTCTTCTGCTGCTTTCCAGCACAGTCCATTTTCTATTCCACATCAGCTAAACAATCACGACAAAGAAACAACACATTATTCTTGGTATCTGTCTATGTTGTGGCATATGCCTATTATTCAAATGCAGCAACCTACATTTCATTTAGACTACCACTTAAAAGGACAGTGGAGACTCAATTAGAAGTTTAGGAACGCTACCATCAAAAGGATGCCTTGGGAGGGACCCGCCACAGGGAAAACACCAATGTTCCTCATTGTCTTGTTCACAAAAGATGAAGACTGAACGCAGCACTCAGAATCAACTACATGTGGCTGTGGTCAGGGCCTTGCATTAAGAAAGGCTGTTTTTTTTGCTCACACGTCATATCCATTGCAGCTATGCAGTGCTGTTGGGCTCACTGTGGTCACACGGGGACACTGGCTGGTGGAGTGGCCATCTCAAACATTTCCATTTACTACATATAGCAGAATACAGAAAAGGAGCTAGCAAAATTCTACAATGTGCATTTGAATACTTTAGCTTGGAAGTGGCACATATCACTTCTGCTCCCAAAGTCCTGAGGCTCTGCCCAACAGAAGAGACTCATGGCTACTGCCCCATCATGTACCCTGAAAGCAGTGGGCTGGAAATATTTAGTCACACAGTGATGGTTACCACACAAAGAACACATTTAACACCCAAACAATTGCTAATGGAACCAAGAGGGGGAAACACTGTCAGATGATCAGAATGAAAGTGGCAATTACTGAAACATGAAAAAAGAAGTTTTAAGACAGTAGTTTATAAATTCATAGAATACATAACCCAAAGAAGTGGTACAAGGTAAGCATACAGATTCAAATGGGCTTAGGCAAATGTATTAATTGCAAAGCTACACTGGGCCAAAATACTAATACTTATTCTGAAGGTGGTAGGGTGAATGCAAATCTTACTGAACATAAAAGCATTCTGGTGCCATGTTTAGAGAGTTGCCTGGGATGACCTGCGAGTAGATTCAGTTGGTCCATCCTGATACTGTCACACTATTAAAATATCTTCAAGTAGCAGTTGAGGAATATTCCTTTAGGGTTAAACAGAGGAAGATCTTTCCCAATGCATGCAATACAATTTTTGCACTGAATGGCAGGGAAGCAATGGAGCCAAATACTAAGTCTTAATTAACACTAACTCACTCAATCTCGTTCCTTCACAGCACACAGCACACACAGAGCCACACACAAATTTAGCCTGATTAAGTGCCTAAGGGGTCTTGTGAATGATGATGCATGAAGAAACAAATCAGCCATAAATAAACATGTGTTTCCTTTGCATTTCCCATCACCCACTTTAAGTTTTTCTCTATCTCCTCGGTCCTGCCACAGTGGTTTTGGTCCACCTCTTACCTGTTCCTCTTTCAGTTATACTTCTCCTACCTCAGTGACCTTCCTTGTAAACTCCAGAGTATAATTCAATTTCCCATGTTAAGAAGATCTGGACTGATAAGCAAAACATGTGGATATACAGGAGACAGAGTATTAATTCCATTTCATAATAAATGTCTAATTTCTTAAAAGGCTCCATGTTCAGATCTGCCTTTCCTTCCTTCCTTGGTTCAGGCTCTGCATCTGCCAACCATGTAGAGTAATAAAAACAGCCAAGGAGGAAATATATACACACACACACACACACACACACACACACACACACACAGACACACACATATTTGTGGTTGACATCTTTTCCACAACTTTTTTGTTCTGTTTTGGTGTTCTAATGTCCTTTAAAGATTCTGAAAGACAACACACATAGGCTCCTTATCAACTCAGCACAGAATCACAAATAATTGCAATAGAGCATGGTGGTCTTCCCTCCCTCCAGGAGAGCCAGAAACAAATTTTCTCACCCCTGAGGACTCCGAGGAAAGCAAGGGAGTGGGATGCTTGAGGGGCAAGGCTGGCTTCACATCTGAGCAGCTGGCCTCAGGACAGCAGCATGCGCTACCCTTGATGAGGCCAGCTCAGGGCAAGAGAGCCTTTTCTCTTTCACCAGAGATCCTCAGTAAAGACTGGTAGAACCCTCCAAGACAAAGGTCACTTGATTAACCCAGCCCACCTCATCCTGATAACAGGGTCAAGTACTTCTCATTGTGAAGAATTTTCAATTTATTTTACAGACAAGATAACTTGATCCAAGATAGCATCCCTGGTCCCCAGGAAGGCTTTCAGAGGAAGCTAAGGAAGGAGAGCTGAGAGTCCTTTGCTGAGGCCCTGCTTTCCCATTCTTCAGGGCGCATCTGTCTAGAATCCCAGTTCTTTCACTGCAGGAGTATCTGTACTGCATCTTTACAAGAAAGGGGCCAAGGCATGAAATGAGGGGATAAGGATAGCCCTTCTAAAGTCTCAGCTGAGATTTAGAGAGCAGCCCTCAAAGGAGGGGGTTCAATTATGTTGTTTGATTTTGCTTTGCCTTTGTCTTAAATGTCTGTATAATTTATGACAACAGACATCAGTTGCTTCTGCCTCCCAGCATTCCTTCTCCCTTCCCCACATTGTTCTTTGAGGAATCCATGTCCCTGTCTAGTCTTGGTCCATTTGGTTCAGGGAGGGCATAAAACATCTGAGTTGTCACTGACAGCACACTATCCCCCCATGATTGCAGGGACTGGCTAAGAGATGCCCACTTTACACACAGGTCAGACCAGTGAAAACTGTGAACCTGCAGCTCTCGCTGTTGCAATCAAATGAAGGTACTGTCTCTGGATGGGGCTGATGTACTGGCTGAACGGTAGGTGGGGATGCATGTGGCCATCTTTGCTTTCCTATGTGTTGGCTGCATTCTCAGGCCAACTTCCCATATGGTAGCCAGGAAAATCAATGGAGAGTCAGGAAGACAGGAAAGTAATTTGGTGACACTTTTGAGTGGTTCTGAATTATCTATGCCTCGACTGTATCTCTGGACTTCTCAATTTAATGAATTCAGAAACTCACTTTTTTCCCCTTAAAGTTAAGTGACTGAGTCAGAGCAAAGAATTAAAGGACCCCTCCTGGACTGACAACTATGGGTCTCCAGGAGACGCCCCTGTCTCACAGGGTCTAGACATGTGCCTTGGTTTAATAAGTTGATTTCATGAGCATTTTTTCATCAGGGTAATAATGTTCTCCACAACTAAGACACTAATTTCTGATGTGCTCTGTTTGGCATTTGTAAAGTCACTATGTCTACTTTGGTTTGAGTCCTGGAATAGGCTGATACACTAGCAATTTCCTTAAACAAATTTACAGTCTCTGGCTTGGTATTTTACTTTCTTTTCATGCTATAAATCTGCATAACTTGCATGAGCTCTTGCCATTCATGCACATTATTTCCTTATTGTCCCAGTTTTTCTTCCATTTTGTGTAATTGCATTCATTAATCATTTTTCCCTTACTCCCACCATCCTCTCTTCAAATACATGCCCTTGACCATCCCAGTCTATTTAATAGGCCTAAACTTTTTTTTTTTCATTTTCCATATCTCTTCTTTCCATACAATAAGCATGAATGTAACCGTTATCTGTATACCATCAGTGAGCATTCACTCAAGGCCAAGTACTTTGCTATATCATTTCTTTAATCCTCTCCAAAACCCCATGAGATAGGTGTGGACTTTGGCTCAATTATTCAACTTTCCTTGTCCTCACTTTCCTAACCTGTAAAATGGGCATAATAAATATTAGAGGGGAAACTAGAAACTGGTTGATATTTATGTAAGCCTGTGTTCTTTCTAACCAGACAGGCAGACGCCTCTACATGTGTGCCAATTCTAAGTCACACACCTTCAAAGCAAGCTAGTTGGTTTCAGATCTCTGATGACATGGTTCACCAATGACTGATACGGGCTGCCTCAAGGGACATACTCAGCTCTCTGAGAATGCCTTTGCAGGAAACACCCAGAAGAGACAGAGAATGAAGTGAAGCAAGAAGTCTAGAGAAAGCAGATAGTCAAAGCAAGACACAGCCATACATAAGGATAAGAAGTTTCACAGAACGGATCCTTCTTCTTTCCAGTTTTCCCCTCATAGAATGATGCAGATAATACGACACTTTTAGAAGAAAAAAATGGAAAGTATGAGAAATAAAAGTGCACAGACGATGTGGTAACTGGGAATAAAGGTGACTCTAATTCTGTACCCTCTTCCATCCTTGAAAAGATTACAATCTGGATTTCATGAAAAACCAGTAAGATTTAGAGGAGGTACAACTGCAAATGTTCATATCTAAAGGCCTTGGATAGGGATCTGGTTCCCTCTAGGTTCTCGGCAGTGCTGTGATAAGAAATAATCTATTCTTTCTCCCACCAAAGTGCAATGCAGATAATAATTTGTAGAGCATGATGGGGAGCTGAGGTGTGGAGTAAGGTTAGATGCGAATCTGAGGGGTTACCTGCTACCCACCCTTCAACTCCACTTCACTGGCAAATAGGGTTCAGCAGGGCTTTCCATGAGAGTTCTGCTCTTCATTACTTGCAAAGAGAGAAAATTATACAGGTGAGCCATCTGCAAGTGAGAAATGGGCAGCCGAAAAGAGGATGTGTGCTAGAAGGTGGGCCATGCCATAATTCGGGGTTGTTATTAAGACCATTATAGAAGATTATCAAGTCATCCTGGTAGACTAGAGATCATGGGGCTAGATGATGGGTTTATTCAAAGTAAACAGAAACTCTCCAAGTACTGGAAGGGAAACAGCCAATATTTACTTAGTGGCTGAGAGAAACCTTACTTTTAATCTATTTACCTGGAATAACTGAGCAATCAAAATCATTTGTTTTCTAAAAGGGCAACTAGACCAAGACTGATCATTTTAACTGAATGGATGAAGAAGAATAACTACAACATAATAATCCCCACTACAGAGATGGGATAATTTTTTAAAGTTAAAAGCAGGAAAGGGAATAAAAAAGAAGACTAAACAGGGCAGGAAAAAAGAGAAACACACATAGAGATACACACACACACACACACACATACTCACTCTCTCTCTCTCTCTCTCTCTCTCTCTCATGCACGCACACGTGTGAATGTTCCAGAAGCTAGTGGAGATGAGAAAGAAGTGAACCCCACATGGGCAGTAGAGGTGCTCTGGAGCCAATGTTACTCATTACAAACACAAATTAGATAATAACAGGATGAGTTATTTGTATAAAAGGTGTACCTTTAAAAAAAAGATATGCATATCATGTCATTTGATTCTCATGGCACTCTTGTAACAAGAAAGATACTGTTAAGCAAGTTGCTTTTTTTTCCCATTTGATATCATGGACAATTTTTTTTATGTCAGCATACAGAGATTAATCTAATTCATTGTAAACTCCATAGAGTATGCCACACTGTAAATAATTTAGCCATTCCCTGTGATACGGTTTGGTTATGTTCCTACCCAAATCTCATCTTGAACTGTAACTCCCATAATCCCCACTTGTCAAGGGAAGAACACAGTGGGAGGTAATGGAATCATGGGGGCAGTTACCCCCATGTTGTTCTTGTGATAGTGCATGAGTTCTCACGAGATCTGATGGCTTTACAAGGGGCTTTCTCTGCTTCACTCTTCACTTCTCCTTATTGCCACCATGCAATGAAGGACGTGTTTGCTTCCCCTTCCACCATGATTGTAAGTTGCCCGAGGCCTCCCCAGCCATGCTGAACTGTAAGCCAATTAAACCTCTTTCCTTTACAAATTACCCAGTCTTGGGTATGTCTTTATTAGCACTGTGAGAACAGACTGAGACACCTACCATGAATGCTCTTGCATGTGTTTTTGGTGAAGTTGTAGTTAGGATCACCAGTTTATGGGTGAGAAATGGAGGCTCAGGAAGTTGAAGACTCCACAAACGGTTGGTGCCCTCACTCAGACTAGCAGTGGTGTAGCTTTGACTGCAGAGAGAAGCTGGAAATGTCTCCTGAGGACTCACCTGCTCCAAGTCGTCAGCTGACCTTTTGTTTTCTCCCACTGGATCCTTGTAGGGCAGGACAAAGAGTTCAGCAGTCGTGGGCAAGCCGGGAAGCACCGCCACCAGGATGTGCTGGCCTGGAACCCCTGTGGCCTGAGGGACAGACACCGGGGCTCACATAAGTGCTGCAGAGAAGAACGCGGAAAAGGGACCAAGTATTTGGTGGGGGGATCAGGGGTAGGCAGAAGACACAGAAGAGGCTTGAAAGCAGAGGTCTGGCAGCAGGTATGTGAGAGGTAGTGCTGGGCTATAGGTGCAGGCTCCAGAGTCAGGTTGTCTGCCATTTAATCCCAGATTCAACACCATGAGACCTTAAGCTCATTGTTTGTATTCTCTATGCCTACATTCGTTTAAATAGAAGACAGGACAGTCACAGCCCCTGCCTTGTTCATGGGAGATTTTGAGGATTCAATGAGTTACACCTGAAGCATTCACAGTAGAACCTGGGGATTCCAATGTTAGCTTTTTTTCCCAGAGGGCATCTCCAAGTGGGGAACCATGCCAGTGAGGAAGCCCTTCACTTTATCATCTACCCCTTATGCCTTAGACTGTTCTAACCTACCTCTTCCTTCATTATCCCTCTGGAGTTACTCTTTAAACAGACCCATCACATCCTAACCACCTAACCTAATAGGACATCCCCATATCATAACCCTCAGGAGGCCCCTGTTGACATCTCTACAGCATCAGACCTCATGACCAGCCCTGTTTGCTGAAGCACTCTGAGCATTCCACTTGGCCACACTGACTCTTCTGTTAAAATTACAGATGTCACTCAAGGACTTCTTGTTTATCCTAGCTCACTCTTCTCTCTCTTGAGTTTATACCCCAGGGTTTCCCCTGAATCCTCTCTCTAGATGCTTCTAGAATCAATAGCTATAATCCCAGCTTCTCTCTCCAACAGTCCAATTCAAATCATGTTCCCTTGTCCAAAACGCTTGCAAGAATTCCCATTGCTAACAGGATTAAGGACATATTTAAGCTCTTCTCCAATATGGTCCCATGCTTCCTTTCCAAAATAATTACCCACGACGCTTATGCTTTTGCCAAAAGGGATAACGTACAATTTCTTAATATTTCAGCCTGTTCCCACAAATGTTCCTGTGCCCACCAGAATGTCTTTTCCCTGCTTTTGATACTTAAAGCTTACTTATTTTATTATTTCCCAATTAGGTGATTATTTGTTTTTGAACTCCACTGTGTTGCATTTTTTTTGAAGATATAAGAAATTCCAGGTATTAGGTCCTCATCGAATGTTCTAAGTTACTTAGCACAATGCCAGGTACTTCCCAGATGGGTTATGCTAAGCAATTTATATTGTTTTCTGTGACCTCCACCAACGTGACTATTATAAGTAACTTACAGTATTATTTTATGCAACTTCTAACAACAACCCTTTGAAGTCAATATGATTATACCTCACTTGGCAGTGAGGACATATCACAGGCTGGGGTCCTCAGAAAGTTGACCCTGAGTTTAGAAGGCAGGATGTTTATTAAGAAGCGCTCTTGGGAGCAAAGCGCTCTTGGGAACAACACCTATGAGAGCAAACAGAAGGAAACAAACATGGGCAAGGGAAAAAGCTGAGCTACCATGCAGGCACATGACAGCCTCAAGTGACCCCGGAGGGAAAAAGAACAGCCCTGCAGAGTTGTCTTACGTTGCGCTGAGATGGTCAGGACTTTACATACCTGCACCAGTGTGTCATCAGACAGGAGTGACTCTAAAAAGTGACATGACTCGGAACCAGGCTGGTGAAGACTCTGCCCAGAGCCCTCCCAGAAAAGACAGCAAGTGTCTGCCTGAACAGAGACCTGGGCAGTGCATCTCAATTTCCACTCCGGGAAAGATGGTGGCTGTAGGAAGATTGGGACAGTGGCTCAATGCCACTGAAGTGACTGTTGATGCTTCTGAAGCCTGGTGTGACTGTGAGACCTGTGTTGGGGCCCAGAGCTCTGCACCTCCCTTCTCCAGACACAGACCAGCTCCTATTACAGCAAACCCCATACTGTTTTATGCCTTTACTAGATTGTAAACTCAGAGATTAGGCCTGTATCATCTTCGCTGTACATAAAAATGTTTATAATGACACTCGATGAAAGATTTCATTGTGAAATGTCAATAGCAAAAGCCATTTTGATGATGAAAAGGCAAACAATTTTATGCCAAATTTTGTTTCATAATCAAGAGGAAGAAAATTGCAAATAAGCTGAATCTCAGTTATACCTCTTATGAGGTTTATTAGTGGACACTTTGTAATGCGGACCCTTGGGACTTAAGAAAGTGGCCAAGTGCAATTACTCATCTCAAAGTCAGTGTAAGGCCGGGCGCGGTGGCTCAAGCCTGTAATCCCAGCACTTTGGGAGACCGAGGCAGGTGGATCATGAGGTCAAGAGATCGAGGCCATCCTGGTCAACATGGTGAAACCCCGTCTCTACTAAAAACACAAAAAATTAGCTGGGCATGGTGGTGCGTGCCTGTAATCCCAGCTACTCAGGAGGCTGAGGCAGGAGAATTGCCTGAACCCAGGAGGTGGAGGTTGTGGTGAGCCGAGATCGCGCCATTGCACTCCAGCCGGGGTAACAAAAGTGAAACTCCGTCTCAAAAAAAAAAAAGTCAGTGTAAAATGCTAGGAGCCAAGCTCTGCATCAGCTGCCTCTTGGGATTGGTTAACTAGGGAGCCTTGGAAACTGGAAGTTATTACCACTACCACCACCACTGCTATAACCCTGCCCTCATCCCTGCCCTAAGGGACATTAAGTCAATCTGTTTATTCTGCATGTATTTGATTATGTTATGCAGCAGGCTAGAAATAGTGATGAGCATTCATTTCTAGCCTAATAGACAGCTGGTAGAAAGGTGGAGGTACAGGGTGTCTGATCTCTTGGTAATAAGTGTGAAGAGAAATCAGCCTGGAAGGCTGGACATTGCTGAGCTAATGCTTGAGTTGATAAATCACCTGGGGCAGCTGACCAGATGGAGGACCTATGAGGACACAGGTCTACAGAATGCTGCAGATAAGAAGAGGTGGGTGGTGGGTTCGTTAAAGAGCATAAGTCATCCTTCTTGGACAGCAGAGGACAAAAACCAGCTGTTACCTTAGAGACAGACGGCTCAGGGCAGAAAGGCCTATTCCTTTTAGGGTTGTAGTCTAGCAGTTGTGCCTCCTGGTGGTGATAATGTGTAACCACCAATTATGTCACAGATGCTGAGAGCCATGGAAAGGGAGGTGGGTGGTATTGCCCAGAGGCACATGAAGATATCCTTTCTTTACCCCATTATTTTATCTATCCCTGTTTCTCCTGGGAATAAGGCAAAGGAAGGCCCTAGAGCGAAGTGGTTAGGAAACCACAAAATCAAGATTCAAACCTTGATGGTCTGACTCCAGAATCTGATTTATTTATTTATTTTACTTTTTGAGATGGAGTCTCGGTCTGCAGCCCAGGCTGGAGTACAGTAGCATGATCTCTCGGCTCACTGCAACCTCTGCCTCCCAGGTTCCGGTTCAAGCAATTCTTTTACCTCAGCCTTCCAAGTAGTTGGAATTACAGGCACGAGCTACCGTGCCCAGCTAATTTTTTTTTTTTTTTTTTTTTTTAGTAGAGATGGGATTTCAACATGTTGGCCAGTCTGGTCTTGAACTCCTGACCTCCTGATCTGCCCTCCTCGGCCTCCCAAAGTGCTGGAATTACAGGCATGAGCCACGGCGCCTGGCCCAGAATCTGCATGACCTTGGGTGAGTAATCTAATATCTCTAAGTTACATCTCTTCACCTACAGAATGGGAATAATCACAGTTTCAACATCATAAGCTTATTTCGGGGATTAAATGTTTTAAAATAACAGAAAGCACTGAAAAGAGTACCTAGAATATTTGAAGTGCTAACTATTAACAAAGGTAATGAAGACAGAGAAGACCAGCTCCTTGCAAGGGGCTGGATGTGAGATCTGTTTTCTGAGCAGGGTTGATCTGAATGCCTTTATCTCATTATCTTTTTGTATCCTGTGGCACCATGTCCTGGGATAGGAAAGAATGTTCACCGAACCTAAATTGATTTTTGTTCTGAGCTAAGAATATGCCCTCAGAGTAGATAACTCACCTCTGATTTTCACATTTATACAATAAGCTCAAGCTGCCCCATGAGCGGCTATCCCATTCCTCTGCTCATGAAAGTAGAATAAGGGGCTGGGTGTTGTGGCTCATGCCTGTAATCCCCGCACTTTGGGAGGCCAAGGCAGGTGGATCACTTGAGGTCAGGAGTTCAAGACCAGCCTGGCCAACATGGTGAAACCTCATCTCCACTAAAAATGCTAAAGAACATGGCTGGCTGTGGTGGCACACACCTGTAATCCCAGCTACTCCAGAGGCTGAGGCGGGAGAATCACTTGAATCTGGGACGTAGAGGTGGCAGTGAGCTGAGACTGCACCACCGCACTCCAGCCTGGGTGACAGAATGAGGCTCCATCTCAAAAAAAAAAAAAAAAAAAAAAAAAAAAAGTAGAATAAGGAGAGGGAGATGTGCCTAAAAGAAGATGTCTTCTCCAATCATCAGTGACATTGCTGAAAGAGGGCTAAACCACAGCCACCTTGGTATTCTCTCAGAAACCTAAGGAGGCTTTGCCAAATACACAAAAGCCCAGACATTGGACTCAGGCCCTTAATTTCAATTTTTTAGCTTCATCCTCTATTAGCTGTCAGAATTTAGGCAAGATAAGCTGCCTCATCTACATAATGTGGGTAATAATTCCTTTTGGGGGCTGTTACAGTACAGAAATGTCTTTTAAAAATGAAGACACTGTAATCCCAGCACTTCAGGAGGCCAAGGCAGGCAGATCACGAGGTCAAGAGATCGAGACCATTCTGGCCATCATGGTGAAACCCCATCTCTACTTAAAAAATTACAAAAATTAGCTGGGCATGGCGGCGTGTGCCTGTAGTCCCAGCTACTTGAGAGGCTGAGGCAGGAGAATTGCTTGAATCTGGGAGGCAGAGGTTGCAGTGAGCCAAGATCGCGCCACTGCACCCCAGCCTGGTGCCTGGCGACAGAGCGAGACTCTGTCTCAAAAAAAAAAAAAAATGGTGACATAGACGTATGTCTAACCATCATATACTGAATAGTCAGTGCACTGTTATGCTCACAGCTGTGGAAGTTGGAACCTGAGACCACTCTTACTAATTGTAGTCACCTGAGGACACTTCCATGCTGAGTCCCTTCACTGGCATGCACAGTAGCTGGTTTTACACTTCTCAATGGCCTAATTGTGAACTCTGCTACCGAAATGTAGAAAAGGAGTTTAGGTTGTCCTGTCCTCCTTCTCCAAGCAGAGTAAGAGTCACAGGGGGCAAGGATCTCAAGTTTGTCCACAGTTCCACGGCTGTATCTCCCTTAGGACCTTTGATGTGTCTGCATGTGTGGCCTTAGCTGTGGAGACATCAGACCAATAAACTGAACTTCCCACGGCCTCTAGCTGCTTCTTCCTGCCATTCTTTTTGTACAAAGCTCCCCTTTCTGCGAAATTCCTCAAGGACAGAGAGAAAAGGCATGTAGACCGGGCAAGAGAAGACACTGTGTGCACTCACTTCCACCAGGGATTTTTTGATGACTCGGCCGATGTCCCTCCTCCACTCAGGGATGTCCGGGTTGTAGTCATCCAGGTTTGGAGAAAAGGACAAGCGAAGGGACCGGAATTCCTCTGGGGATACAACAGTAGATGGAATACTGTAAGTCAAATAGTCTCATCAAGAGGTTTGTTAGACTTTATATTTTATGCAAAACGGAGGGTCCTTTCCCTCCATACTTACCATAGAGACCTTTATGGAAGGGAAGTCACTACCTTGTGAATATCTCACCAGTCCCTTCTTTTCTTCTTCTTTTTTTATTTTAAAAAGCAGAGAGTTTAATAGGCAAGAAAGAAGGGAGAAGAAAGAGGGAAGAAGCTCCCCCACACAGAGACAGAAGGGGGCTTCCAAGTCAGAGAGGAGACCCCACGTGTGGCAGGTATCAGTCAGTTCTATGAGAAGGCAGGAGGAGGTGGTGTCTCATTTGCATGGGGCTCAGGGGATTGGTTTGACCAGGCACGTCATTCATGTAGACCAGGAAAAAAATGGCCCTCCCACCCTAGCCGTTTAATATGCAAATGTACAGCGGCATGTTGTTCTACACAGTTTGGGTGGGGGCAGCCATGTTGCCACACACATGTGAGGGCAAGGGCAAGAAGAGGGCAGGGAATCACCATGTTTGGGTGAACCCAGTTATGAATGGCCAGCATTTGCATATCAAAGGTTGTCTGTCCAACTCGAAGAGCTGGTAGCCCCTTATTTGCTAAACCAAATCCCTCACTTTGTTCTATGCCTATATTTGCAGGCTTTGCCCATTATTCCTAGATCTAGATTCTGGACTCCTGGATAGCAGATGGTCTGGAGCAACCTGAATGCATGGCAGGTTTATGACCCTGGGCCTTTGCAGGTACTGTTCTTCTGCCTAGGATGCCCCATCCTCCCCACGGTCCATGTACAAAATACTCAAGCTCTAGTTCAAGCACTCCCTGACTCACTATCCTCCCACATCGCATTTTAATTTCTTTTATTGCACTACTCTGTTTGGTACATACGTTTACTGCTATTACAGGATTATGGAATATTATGATGAATTATTTATAATTACCACTGCAATCATTCTATTGCTATTGTTTGCATGGAAGTTTCATTTAATGAAATTTTATGTTATTTGGGGATTTTCTTCATTGTCTCTGTAGCACCTGAGTTAGTTCAGGTTCTCCAGGAAGCAAGATGGTGATTACACAAGCAGGGATTATGTGAGGGGAATTCTCTGTGCAAGAAAGTGGGGAGGAAGCCACGGGAGTCATGGAGAACCATCAGACCACCGCGCATGCATATAGAACAGTCAAAGAGAGGAAGAAAGAGTGAGTGACTACTCTGCAGTGTGAGGACGGTTCGGCAAGCCAGAACCATCAGGAGTCTCAGAGCCAACATCGGCTGGCAAAGGAGTCCCCTGTGTCCCAGGAATAGTTCAGCCTTAGTATCCCTGCCATACTCTGTCACTGGCGGGTTAGGTAAGTCCCTGGAAGGTGGAGCCTTACCCCTAGCTTGGTGATAAGCATCAGAGCACAGCACTGGTGGCCTTGGTCAATTGTACTCTCCAAAGTTGGATGTCTGTAAGGCATATTCTTGTGGCCTTGACATCCCTAATCCAGCACAGTGTGTGGCACTTGGTAGACTCAGATCATATGGCTCCCCTGAAACCTTCCAGTGGCTCCACATTGCATTTAGAATAAAATCTAGATTCTTACCACAGCCTTCCTGGCCTCACATAACCTGGTGGGGACTTCCTTTCCTTCCTCCTGTCCCACGTGGCTTCCCTGCACTCTCTGTGCTCCAGGACCTGTGCTTCCCTGTGCTCCTCAATCTGGCTGGCTCCATCCATACCAGCCTTCTCCACTTGATGGGACTGCAGCAAACTCAGCTACCTCTCACCACTCAGTCTCACCCTGAGAGGCCTTTCCAACCACCCAACCTCAGGTAGCCTCCCTTCCACCGTCTTATGCACCCTTCATCACTGGACCCTTTGTGTCCTTTTCACACTCAGTGCTATTTAAATTATTTTGTTTTCATTGTTATGTCCTTCAAACTGCAACAGTAGCTCCATCAGGAAGATGGCTCTGTGTTCCTGGTCCTTGGACAGTGTCTGGCACATGGTAGGTTTTCAGTTACTATCTGTGAGTCATTTAATTAATAAACATTTGTTGAATGAATGTATGCTTAACTTACAGTGGAGGCTCCTTGAAATGTATGCATTTATTTATTTAATAAACATTTCTGATGTTAAGCATGCCCTTTTGTTTCATTAGGGTCTAAGCGACATTGGGGATGCCAATTTATATTCAGGAAGCATAAAAGCTCACTAGTAGATTTCCTAATAATGCTAAGGAGTTACCAAACACATGTTTAGAAGACTCTGACAGTATACGGTGTATAACCATGGTAGTTACTGTATTCCAAAGAGGTACTGTTCAAAGCTTGACCATTTTATGAGTCACTGGTCACTTATGTGAATATTACCTGATAGAGAACAATGAAATGTGGGTTAAATCGTGTGGTAAACAGCAGTGCCAAAGAATCACCCACTGAGTCCTCAGTTTTTTGCTATGAAGATAGAAGTTTCTGTCATTCTCGCTTTCTCTATACCTCTTACCAAACTGCAAGGACTTCATCTACAAGGGAGAATGTTTACCTTAGTAAAAGGACACAAATGAGAAAATGATGCAGCTCCCTCTGTAATTACTTAGCATACTAAACAGCATGGCAGGGAGGGAGAAAGGCAGGGAAACATTGTACTTAAGTCAACTCAAGAAATAGGGGATGTGTGTGGGAGGTGTGAAAAGGGTAAACACCAATAATATATTTTTTTTGCAGCTGTTGAGAAAGATAAATTCTACACATTTGCATATTTTTATTTTTAAGCAAACCTGTGCCCTGGAGCAAATGAAAAACTAGATTTTCTTTCTTTTAATGTATTGTGTGGCTTTGGGTAGGCAAACCTTCCCCTATCAATTTCCCAAATGTGATGCTTTTTCCAGTCCCACCATGACAAACCTCCATGTTCCCCTCAATTTGACTAAACTTTAAACAAGTTTCTGTTTCTTCCTGACTGTAAGCCCCTGTACTTGCTTTTCTTATTTAGTCTAGAAAACTTAACAACTGTAAAATCCTTCTCTGTCTCTTGAGATGTAAATCTTCTACAACTCATGAATGTCTTTCTCCAGGACCTGGGAACCATTCCTTTGAAATATAATCAACAAGAAACATAGCACCCCTCCCTGTCTCCACAGGAGGATAGGAGACTGACTTCCCTAAGCAGCCATTAACTCACACAGATGGTCTAATCACACTGAAAACCCAACTGCTTCCTGAAGTCCTCCCGTATCTTCCCACTAGCTAACCCAGCAATTACAAATATTCCTGCCATTTCTTTCAGTTGGATTTAATCTTTCCTGTTTAACATTGCCTGGTGCAACTTTTGCTCAAGGAGTCACACCTGTCATTAAAACTGTCTGATCATGGTGCTAGGTGTAGTGACTCATGCCTGTTTCTCAGCAATTTGGGAGGCTGAGGAGGGAGGATCCCTTGAGGCCAGGTGTTTGAGACCAGCCTGGGCAACATAGGGAGAGCCCCCCCCCCCACAACTTTCCGATTATGTAGATGAATCTCTGGATAACTCATCTGAATGAAGACGAATTTACGGTAGCTGATGGTGCAGGAATCTGGTTAGAAAAGGAGGCAAACCTTGTCCAATCTCTTAATGAAGAGATATGTAATAACGTATTTTTTATAAAGGGTGATTCACCCTTGGGTGATGCCTTGAAAGAAACTGTATGAAAGAGCAAGTAAGCATAGCAAGGCATGGGAGGTGCTTACAAACATGCCCTCTGGATTCAGAATTCTTAGGCTCTGTTTGTTTATGTTTTCTCATCTGTAAAATGCATAATTATAGAATATTTCTCATAAATCTGAATGGATTTAATAAAGCAGATCACATATACCAAGTGCTTAGAACAGATGCCAGTGACTGGTAAAGTCTTCATCAATGTTAATTCCTACCACCAACAACATTGTTATTACCGTATCTGTCACCAAAGAGCAGAATGACTTTAAGCAGTAATTCCCTATGTCTGGGCCATAATTTCACATCTATAAAAAATGATGGGCTGGACCAGATAAGGCCAAGATTGAAGGTTATCTCCATGATCCTAATGACATCACCAACAAGCATAACCGTTGGGCTAATAGGTCAGTGTCCATTCATGCAACTGGTGACATCCAAGACAGAGAGAAAGGAGAAAAAAGCATCCAGTAGAAATAAATGAGAGTCAGTTAAGTAGGATGGTTTCAGTGCTAGGTGCTGAGTCCAGATGGGCTGGGATTCAAGCCCAGCTGCACAACTTGCTAGGTGGTGCAAGTTATTCACCACTCTGAAAAAACGGGGATCATAACACTGCCTACCATACACTAGGCTTGTTATGAAGAATAAATGCATTCCCAGCACACAGAAAGGAGATGGAGCGCAGAAGAGAAGCAGACTCTGCCCCACTCTACACAGCCAGTTTGGCCACCTCGTACCTCCCCGATGGGACACTGTTAGGAAAATCATGGCCCTGGCTTACTTCCTATTATCTGGGCTGATCAAGCCTTTCAGGAGGAAAGGAGAGAGAAGAAATTATAAAATCTAACACCCAGCCATAAAAGGAAATAGTGTCCCTAAGGCCTTTTGATCCTTAGATGTATTCCAAGTTGCTTACAAATTATTTTCTGACTTAGAAGGTCAACTTGGCAACATGAGCATTAACAGAACCTGACTCCTCACAGGAAAATCTAGTCCCAAATATTCTCATAAAAATTATGAGAACTGGACAATTGATATTATTTGGAATACAAGCTAGGCTGCCTTTCTTGCCTTTCTTTCTCTCTCTCTCTCTCTCTCTTTTTTTTTTTTTTTTTTTTTTTTGATATGGAGTTTTGCTCTCATTGCCCAAGCTGTAGTGCAATGGTGTGATCTTGGTTCAGTGCAGCCTCTGCCTCCGGGTTTCAAGCCATTCTCCTACCTCAGCCTCCTGAGTAGCTGGGATTACAGGCATGTACCACCATGCCCAGCTAAATTTTGTATTTTTAATGGAGACGGGGTTTCCCCATGTTGGTCAGGCTGGTCTCAAACTACTGACCTCAGGTGATCCACCTGTCTTAGACTCCCAGTGCTGGGATTGCAGACGTGAGCCAGTGTGTCTGGCCTCTCTTGCTCTCTTTCTCATCCTTCCTTCCTCCCTCCTGCCTCCTCCTCTCCCTGCATAGCATTTTCTTTTCCCATCTGTCTAATTTTCACTTCTCATATTTCAAATGCTAATTTTTCAGGAATCATATGTACCATTTCCATACTAATAATGTACTAATAACACTTAGTGCATATCCAAATGACTATCTTTCTATACAAAAAAAAAAAAAAAAAAAAAAGATTTACCAAAACAAAATCAATCCATCAAATGCTTTTTTCTTTCCAGTTTTCAATGACTCCACCTTTTCATTTCAGGACATTTTCATTCCATCTAATACTCTGACCATATTCAATTTCCCCAAGTGATCACAAAGTTGTTCTTTATAGATCCAGCCTATGGTTATGCACCACATCTGATTGTTATGACTCTTCCATAACTCTGAATCTAGCAGACATTTTTTTTAATGGTACAGATTTGTGGAAGAGATTTTTCAAGTATTTAGATAATGGCAGATTTCTCTTATTAATCAATAATTTTAAACTTGAACTTTAAAAAGAGATTCAGCGTTAGCTATTTTAATTTGTAACTGGTAATCAAACATCATTAACATTCTAAGTGAAATGAGTTAGCCTCACACGTCATAAAATTCACTTTATGAGTGAGTGAATCGTCTTTCTCCCTCTAAGAAAACAAAACAAGCCCTTTTTGGATCCTGTGACACTGTTTTACTAGTGATTCCAATTTCCCTAGAGGAGGACATGAGACTTGCCTCAGCTCTTTCTCAACTACTGGCCTCCATTCTCCAGGTTAAAAAAAAAAAAATGCTGGGGGATGGTCTCAGGCATCACGGCACAGAAGAACCTCCTCTGAGCGCAAGGGCAGCTGTGGGTCCACGAGATGGGCACTCACCATATACAGCGATGGTCTTCGTGTCTTGTAGGATGGCATTCCCAGCTGACACCTGCACTGTGATGGTATTCATTCCTTCCGAAGTAAATCTGAAGGATATGCTTCCCTCCAAGGTGATCAAAGGCTAAAACAAACAAGGGCCCAGAGTGAAAGGAAAGCTATTTAGAGTTGAGACAGTCACCAACTCTGAGCCAACAATGGGCTGTCCTCTAACTCAATAGAGACTCTTCCTGATGTACCACGGTGGAATTGAGTCCACCTATGCCTCCCCATCCTCTCAAGTCCAAAACAGAAAAGAGGTTATTGGAGCAATGACTCCCAGCAAGCCTGCCTATTCATTGTGAATTCCTGGTATCAACCTGATTCAGGGCTGGGGAGATGGGTAGGTCTTGCTTGCTGGTGGGAGATATATCTCTCTTTATGCATAACCTATTCATATCAAGCAAATCCCTAATACAAGGAAACAGTCAAATCAAATGAGAACAGGGGGCTTTTATTAATCCAGATTGAAGCAGCAGTCACTGAAAATCTATAAACTGCCAGGTGTTCATCTCCAGGGTGTGGGATTTCTGTAGAATTACAACGGAACATGAATCCCATACACCAAAACCATACAGTAGTTAAACAGCAGTGGCCTTGTGTGCTGACCCTCTCTGAGAAGCCCCATCAGCAGTTTCCTGGAAGTAGCTGCTGCTGTGGAAACAAGTACTAATTGGATAGTGGTCTGAGGATTCAAAACAGAAAAAAAAAAAAAAAAAATGGAGTGATGCCTGCAATACAGTTGAATGCTGGGGTCCTAGAGGAAAAAATATTAGCCTACTGACTTCCCTTGACACACTCCTCAAACATTTATTTCCCGTCTCTTCTTAATTAATTTAAAAATCAAAATTGATTTGATTCTCTGTAAGGCAGAAAGAAGACTAAAACCCAGCATGGGAAACCTTTTCAGTGGGGTCTCTTGAGAATCTGGTTTTCTTTTAAAAGGAAAGATAAAAACTGATAAACAATAGGAGATAGAAAAGGAAGTTGTTCAGTACTTTTACCTTCTAGTACTAGTTTTCAGGGAAATGGCATATATTCCTCCTCTTCCACTGCGGATAGAGGGCCCAGTATGGACTGAATTAACATGCATAGTTTCAGAGGGAAAAAAAAAAGAGCCTCTTTTCAGCCTAGTTATGGTTGCAGAAGAGGTGAGAGGTTTTCCTCTGTTAAGGTTCAGGGGAGGCTTCCTCCTGGGCCTGTGCAAAATTATGTCTCCAGCTAAAGCCAAGTTTCAGCTCGAGGGTAGAAAAATGTTTTTATTAAAATAAGAGACATCATATTTAAAGAGCAAAATCACCACATGAAAGCAGCCCTGCTGGAAGAAGATGGAGCGTTTCAGTCCAGAGCAGTTCATCCCAGTGTCTTCTGGGGCTTCAGCTCTATTGTCTTACTTACATTTGGAAGCACTTTAATTTCTGAGAATGGAATGAGTTCAAAACTGAAATACACCATGCAGCCTGGTGCAGAGGAAAGAAAAATTAATGGAGGCATCAGAAAGCCTTACATTTGGCCTCTTATGATGCAGCTGGAAGAGATCAAAGTAAACCGCTCCAACTGCATAACCCTCACTTTCCTCATGTGCAAAATGAAGGACTTAGAGTAAATGAGGTATTAGGTCTCTTCTAGATTTAAAATTGCCACTGACTTTTGAGCATAGGGAATATTTGGGGAAAAAAGCAGAAAAGTTAAAGCTGACCTAAATAAGTTAAGATTTGGGGTGAGGAGGCCATCAAGGGTGGCTCATAATGGATGGAAATCTGTTGCTTGTGCCTGTCCAGCACCCAGCATCCAGTTGCTACATTTTTTTGTTGCTGATTTTTTTCTTTCTTTTTTTTTTTTTTTCTTTCCAGATGGAGTCTCGCTCTGTTGCCCAGGCTGGAGTGCGGTGGCGTGATCTCGGCTCACTACAACCTCTGACTCCCAGGTTCAAGCGATTCTCCTGCCTTAGCCTCCTGAGTAGCCGAGACTACAGGCGTGTGCCACCACACCCAGCTAACTTTTTGTATTTTTAGTAGAGACAGGGTTTCATCAGGTTAGCCAGGATGGTCTCAACCTCCTGACTCTTGTGACCCACTCATGTTGGCCTCCCAAAGTTCTGGGATTACAGGCATGAGCCACCGCGCCCAGCCCTGATGCTGCATTTTCTTTCGGTCATCCCTCTCCCCTTCTGCAGTTCATGTGGTTCTGGGGAGACTGAGTTCCTCACCTCCCTCTCCACCCCCAGCACTGTGATCAAGGGCTGGCCAATAAGACTCAATTTCAGGACTGCTGTTAGAACTTTCAGAAAATAGAGTTTAATTTCTCTGCTAAGCTAGGGCTGTCAAGAGTCACTGCAAAGACAAGTGCAGCTGGGGAAAAACGTCCACACAGAGGAAGGCAGAGATGAAACGCAGGAGGGGGAGAAGGGCCAGAGAGAGAGAGAATACAATGATAAGATACTTGAGCACCACAGGAGCTTGTGTTTGAAGCCACGACTGCCCCGACACTCTTGGGTTTGTAAGCCATTTCATTCCCTTCTCCCCTTAGGCAGTGTGATGTGAGCTTCCATCCCTAGACCGCGTGTGGAAGGTGACTCACCTCCGTGTTGTTCCCGTACCACCACACATAAGTGAGCGTGCCCACTTGGCTGGGCCACAGCACCGCCGTCGCGTTGACCTCTTTGTTCTTTGTAGTGACAAAGGGAAGAGACAGGTGCACGTGCTCCAAGGGACCTGAGGCACAAGAGAAAGAGAGGCCATGGAGGGGAAGAGCTTCCTCTGCTCTGTCCTCCCTGCTCTGAAGGGAACACACATTTACTCTTAAAGCCTCCAAAACCTGGCTGCCATATCCCCCAAAAGAAGGGCACAGATGCTCTCCCTACTTTGGAGAAAGAATACACTGAGCACAGTTGCATCTTGACATTTTCCACTTACCAATCTTTCTACCAGTTCTAAAACCTGACTGAGCTGTGTGTAAAAATTTAAAAAAATAATTACAGGTCATTATGAAGTCCTTAAGTAACAAGCATCATCTGAGATTTCACAAGAAGATGTAGTCTTTCCAACAGGCTGTATCCTTGGTGGTGAACCAGAGTCATGAAGACCTCATAGAATCCATGTTGGTGAAGAGTGGGTGGACAAATCTTCAAACCACTCTCCATGCAATTACCGTTCATTATCTTTTTTTTTTTTTTTTTTTTTTTTTTTTAGACGGAGTTTCACTCGTTACCCAGACTGGAGTGCAATGGCGCGATCTCAGGTCACTGCAACCTCCGCCTCCTGGGTTCAGGCAATTCTCCTGCCTCAGCCTCCTGAGTAGCTGGGATTACAGGCATGCACCACCATGCCCAGCTAATTTTTTGTATTTTTAGTAGAGACGGGGTTTCACCTTGTTGACCAGGATGGCCTCGATCTCTTGACCTCGTGATCCACCTGCCTCGGCCTCCCAAAGTGCTGGGATTACAGGCATGAGCCACCATGCCCGGCCCCTTACCCTTCATTATCTATTGGATTTTAAAGGTGTATGTGTAAATGTGTTTGTGCATGTGTCTGCAAAGCCATCGGATTTGGTAAGCATGGCACGCACACTGTGTTTGGGGCTGAGTTGAGCTCATTCAGGGCAGAGGTGTGTGTGAAGGCATAGAGCTCTTTGGTTCTCAGGAGATGCTCAACTAAAATATAGAATGATTTCTATCTACGGACGCCTGTAAAAACTGGAAACCTTAATTAGACGTGCCAACCCCAGAAAGATACGAACACCCCCTTCATAAAGAACCACTAGGACCTTTCCTTTGACCCCAATCTTCTCTTTGGGTCACTGTTTCCAAGCAAAATGCAGATTCCTACGCATTTGCCATTCCCATCTTGGTCCTATAAGGTGGAGGAAAGAGAGCAATATCTTGGGCCTATTCACCTGGTTTAATTACCTCTTGTTCTGCTTGCCCTGTAAATGTGTTTCCCAGAATCCTGTGCTGAGACTCTACATACTTTTCCACTAGGCACCACCACCCACACCTTAACCTACAAATATCAAACACATGTGCAGGGCTCTCACACCCCTTTCTGGGCTCTACACCTTCTGACGGGCTCTAGACTTCTTTGGCTCCAGGAGTCAAACGTTCTCAAGGACCCTGTTATTTTCCTCTTCCATATTCTCTACAGTTTGGTGACTAATGCTCATATTCATCCAGGGCCCACTGCAGAAACAGAAAGTCAATTTCAATTTCTTTTTTGTCATTCACATCCATTTAGGAAACCAAGGATTTAGTTCCATAATATCTCTAAGATATTTATCTCTCCCTCTGCAGTCCGGAGACCTGGTTCATATTCTAAGCACCTTTCTCACTTCCCTTCCAGATTTTCCTGCCTCTAAACTTCCTCACTTGAATCTCTCCTCCAAATGGCTACAACAGTGATTTTTCAAGATAACCAAGCTGATCATGTTACTCATACTTGTTCAAAATTAAAATTCCCATGATCTGGCCAAGCGCAGTGGCTCACGTCTGTAATCCCAGCACTTTGGGAGGCTGAGGCAGGTGGATCACGAGGTCAAAAGATCGAGACCATCCTGGCCAATATGGTGAAACCCCAACTTAACTAAAAATACAAAAATTAGCTGGGTGTGGTGGCACGTGCCTATAGTCCCAGCTACTGGTGAGGCTGAGGCAGGAGAATCACTTGAACCTGGTAGGCACAGGTTGTAGTGAGCCGAGATCAAGCCACTGCACTCCAGGCTGACAACAGAGCAAGACTGCATCTCAAAAAAAGAAAAAAAAAAAAAACAAACGATTCCCATTATCCAATTATAATAATGATGGTAGGTAACACATACTGATTTAAAATTTGTGATACAGAAGAGAGAGGCTGCAAATTTCTTGAGTACAAGAATTCTTCATGTTTATCTTCACACACAAAGACTAGAAGAGTTTCTAAGACATGGTAGATGCTCAACTATTCGCTGGGTAAAGCAAATGACATAACTTCCTATGTCTGCCTTTGTTCACACTATTCCCTCTCTTTAGAATGAAAAGTCTGGTGATCAGTACACAGAATAAAACTGATCTTCTGGCTTATAAAGTTTGAGAAGCAGTTGATTATAAGTCAGAACAGTTCAATGAATTAATAAATAGGTAACATTTACTGAGTGATGACTATAACTAAATGTTCTGCTAAATACTCTGTTTTTCTTACTTTATCCTCACAAAACAATCTAATGAAGTAGGCACTAATATCCTCCCCATTTAGAGATGAACAAAGTAAGGTGACTTTCTCAGGTCACACAGCTAGGAAACATCAATTCTAAGGTGTGAAGCAAAGCGGTTTGGTTTCAGAGCCATTCTCTGGCCAGAGGACAAGTGATTAAAAGAACCTTTCCAGTCCTCTTTTAACAAAAAAAGCTGTTAAGAGTTGCTGCTTTCTGTAATCCCAGCACTTTGGGAGGCCGAGGCGGGTGGATTACAAGGTCAAGAGATTGAGACCATCCTGGCCAACATGATGAAACCGTTCTCTACTGAAAATTAAAAAATTACCTGGGTGTGGTGGCATGCACCTGTAGTCCCAGCTACTCAGGAGGCTGAGGCAGAAGAATTGCTTGAACCCAGGAGGTGGAGGTGGCAGTGAGCCCAGATCACGCCACTGCACCCCAGCTTAGCACCTGGAGACAGAGCAAGACTCTGTCTCAAAAAACACACACACACACACACACACACACACACACACACAACCAAACAGTTGTTGCTTTGCTGCTTTCTAATCAGGTATTTTCCACCAGGCATTGGTGTAAAATACACTTTCCACTTGCTTTCATTTATTGCACAAGCCCTGCCATTTTCCCATCCAATGGTTTGTTCCAGTGAGCCTTGTCCTGGTCCAGCCCAGGGCCTTTGCTTCCACACGCCTTTCTGATGGCACCTGTCAGTCTTCAGGTCTCAGTTCCAGCATCCCCTCCTCTGTGAAATTCTCCCTGAGTCCTCCATCTGATTAAATGAATCCAATGAATCCATTAGAATACAACGTCTAGATAAGCTATGCTAGAAATGCTAGTTCCATTCTAAAGAGGTTCATTTTGTCTCTTACACATGAGGATTTTTTAAAAGTCATAAACCAGAGTAAGAACAATGTCTATATGTCATTGTCTCAATGAAAAAAATTTGAATATTGTTAGTAAAACATGATAATTCATTTACTCAGAGCTTTTTGTTTGTTTTCATTTTTTTTTTTTTTTTTTTTGAGACGAAGTCTACCTCTCTTACCCAGGTTGGAATGCAGTGATGCGATCTCAGCTCACTACAACCTCCACCTCTTGGGTTCAAGCAATTCTCCTCAGTCTCCCTAGTAGCTGGGACTACAGGTGTGCACCACCACACCTAACTAATTTTTGACACCTGGCTAATTTTTATATTTTTAGTAGAGATGGGGTTTCACCATGTTGGCCAGGCTGGTCTTGAACCCCTGACCTTGTGACCCAACCACGTTGGCCTCCCAAAGTACTGGGATTATAGGTTTGAGCCATCGCACCCGGCCCCCACTCAATAGATTTTGAGTCCTCTGATCTGTTGGGTATTATTCTAGGTGCTGGGGATATCTGGCATTTGGTGGAGCTTAGGTGTTTCTGAGTGAGGAAGGCACTGAATATATAAAGCAGAGGCAGGTGATGAAGTGCTAGTTTTGAAAGCGTGGTCACGGAACGCCTCTCAGAAGAAATTGCATTTGAGCAGTAACCTGAATAAAGTGAAAGACAGCACCAAGTATCTATTTGGAAAGTTCCAGGGTGAGGGTAGAGTAAGTGCAAAGACCGTGAGGAGGAGGGGTGCTTGCCATGTTTGAGAAATTTTTTATTTTCACATAACGCCATTTTGGTCAATGATTTTTTTTTTTTTTTTTTTTTTTTTGAGATGGAGTTTCGCTCTTGTTACCCAGGCTGGAATGCAATGGCGCGATCTCGGCTCACCACAACCTCTGCCTCCTGGGTTCAGGCAATTCTCCTGCCTCAGCCTCCTGAGTAGCTGGGATTACAGGCACACGCCACCATGCCTAGCTAACTTTTTGTATTTTTAGTAGAGATGGGTTTCACCATGTTCACCAGGATGGTCTCGATCTCTTGACCTTGTGATCCACCCGCCTCGGCCTCCCAAAGTGCTGGGATGACAGGCGTGAGCCACCGCACCCAGCCTGATTGTTCTTTTTTTTGAGATGGAGTTTCGCTCTTTCACCCAGACTGGAGTGCAGTTTCAGCTCACTGCAACCTCTGCCTCCCAGGTTCCCCTGCCTCAGCCTCCCAAGTACCTGGGATTACAGGCACCCGCTACCACACCTGGCCAATTTTTGTATTTTTAGTAGATACAGGGTTTTATCGTGTTGGCCATGCTGATCTAGAATCCCCGACCTCAGGTGATCTGGCCTAAGCCTCTTAAAGTGCTGGGATTACAGGCGTGAGCCATCGCATCCGGCCAATAATGAATTTTCTAAGAGAAATTCAAGACACATAGTATGTTGGCCTTGAAGGCCCTAAAATATGTATGTTTGTAAAATAAATATGTTTGTATATGTTCACGCTTACATGCACATACATTATATATGCATACACATATGAAATGTATCTTTCAGATTCCCACAGCCTCTTTTATTCATTTACTTTTCACAGGTTTAAAATACCTGGTTTCTGCTATCCAAAAGCCTATTCTTTGACCATCTCTGTTCATCATAGAGGGTGCAGTATGCCCTAATGGAGCTGCAGAGGTGAAACTCCAACCCATGGAGGCCCCCAGCTGGCTGCATTAATCAGAGAGCGGAACTGGCAGATGCAGCTCCATCAGACAGGTGCCTGCAATGCACAAAAGGGACAGTAGGTGGCGCTGCATCATTCTACATGAATCTTCCTGGACCGGTGGTTGAGAGAATTGGGGAATTGTGTGAATTGGGTTTCCTTTCTCTTTTCTTGTTTATAGCCCTCCTGTGCTGCAGGAAACAACTACGCCTGTGAGACTGCACATTGTGTGTGTGTGTGTGTGTGTGTGTGTGTGTCTGCGTGTGTGTGTGTGTGTCTGTGTGTGTGTGTGTGTCCGTGTGTACTGGCTGCTGGCCTGTCTGCAGCATTTATGTTCTGGAGACCTTTGACCACCTAATTAAATACTGTGTACATATCATATTGCTATTTGTCTACAATGTTTAAAAAAGCTGCTAGAAGAAATAAGAGTGATTCACACTATAAAGCTGAGATCCTAAAACAGTTTCTCAAACTTCAGTGTATCTAAAAATCATACTAATCTGTTCAAAGCAGATTATGAGGTCATACTTCCAGGAATCCTAATTTGGTGGTCTGGAATAAGACCTAAATCACATATTTTTATCATTTAATTTTGGGGCAGGTGGCTCATTAAATGACACTTTACAAAATCCTAGTCTGAAGTTTGCTGGACAATAAAATGATGGTATAAATAGCTGAAAAACTTCTTGGGTTTTCAAGCAAGATGGGGCCAGAAAGACACCTGTACATGGTTCCTATGTAAGGGAACAGCGAAGAAAAGTGGTTTAGGAAGGACTAGAAGATCTGTCTTATCTTTTTGGTTTTTTTTTTTTTTTTTTCCACTTCCCATTCTGCAAGTCTGCAGCCTTCAATGACTTTTTTTTCTGCAAGACTGGCTGCGACCGGGCAGCTTTCTGAGCAGAAATCTGCATGCTCTGTAAATCCTCTGCCCCATCCGACTGAAACCAACACTGGCTGTAGCACGTGTCTCATTAGTTTGCAAACTAGCAGAGCCAGTGAATACTACCCCCAAGGAATTTCCAACTGTCGGGCTACAACAGATTACCAGGCACCCGGCAAGACTGGTTCAGTCCTGGAAATGCTATGCAGGAACATCGGCTCCATTTGTTTCAGATGACCTCTGCAAACCCACCTTTTTTTCAAACCTCTGGTTTGGAATCAAATCACCTTTCTGCACTGGAGAATGGTAGGAATATGTGTGTGTGAGACAGGCAAAGGGCTTTCAGGATTGCTCCAGAGGGTAGGAATGGACGCGGGGCGGAAGACAGGCTTGGGGAGCTAAGAGTTGCTGCTAATTCTCCTCTCCCTCAAAATCTGGTAGGTCCAAATGTACATGCTACTTTGTGATGATAGAAAAATCAAGTTTTACTAGATGCCAGGGTACCACATATTTTGTTTGTTGGGACTTTTGGGAATGAGATTGCATCTACTTGACAGAGGAGAAAATCTAGGCTCAGAGAGACAGCGTGACTTTCCCAGGAGTTTGAACCAAAATCTGAACCTAGTCCGAATGCCTGACTCGGTCCAGTGCTTTTCTTCCCCCTACAAAGCCACCTCTCACTGCCATATCATGGCACTTTGGCACCAATAGACACTTATGACACCCTCCTGCTTTAAGATGCCTGAGAGTATGACTCAATTATGTTCTTGTTCTGACTTCCTTTGGGCATAAAGTGATACCAGAGTCATAGTACTTCTTCAATCTTTGATTTCTACATCTGAAAGAAAAGGCCAGAAGTCTATTATGGGATAGGTGTGAAGATGAGCAAAATGAGTTGGTGTGCATAGCAAAGCACCCTGGCTCCTTTAGGAGGGAGGTGCTAACCAAGCATGTCAGAATCTGCTGAAACAGGTATGACATGACTTTTAGATGTATGTGAGTGAGCAAACAGCTTCAAACACGATTGCTGTCAACACAATTAGTACCAAAGAGCCAGGCTTAGAAAAAAGATCCATTATATGAGGCATGCCTAGCCAACCACTTAACCCAAGATGAGTCTACCAAATTAAAGTCAGAACACGAAGCATTTCATTAAATTATCTTCCTCTAAGGTTAAGATCAAATATTTTGTCCAATCCACTAGGCTAATGAAATCAAAGAATTGCAAATGAACGAAGAAACGGTTTTCTTTTAGAAGTCACGGTTCCTGCAGCCCATCATCTTGGGCAGAGACAATCTATGTGTTGTTCTCCTCTTGAGGACTTGGTTAATGAGGGAAGAGTCTTGCAGGGGGACAACGGACACCTCCAGGAGTATGAGCACACACACAGGAATGAGAAAAAGCCTGCAGAGTGATGAGGAGGTACAGCTATGGTATTAATGGGATACCCTGAAAAATTTAGATCAGAAGCTGATACTAGCTTTTAAATCAGTATTTACATGGTAGCTGTATGACCAATTTGTGGTATACAGAACACAAGTATAATTTGTAATGAAGCTAGCTTTCCAGCTAAATTCCCCCTTACAGAATAAGCTATGAGGTATGATATGATCTAGGTAGGAGCCATTCTAGGCAAATGTGCCATCATTTTCACTGCAAGTTATTTTCGCTACTAATCGTTAATGTTAGTGAGGTATTGTTAAAGATTTAAAGATGATCATTTCTGTGATACCATCACTATCATTTCCCTGCATACTAACATATAGGGAGGTGGTATGTCTTAGTAAGTGTCACGTCTTAGTAAGTGGAAGTCTATATAGGACGAGTTAGGGATGGCAGTTAGATGGAAGGGAGCCCACGTGATGAGTCCTGAAGCTATGTAGTTGAATAACAAGCACACCGCTTCTAACCAAAACATTTATGTTTCTTCAAGATGATCCGTAAACAGTGGGGAACAGACGGTAAAAGCTGATGGAGACAGTTCCTCCAATCCCAAGCCGCTCTTGGCAATGCACTGACCTTAGTTATTAAGAGCTAGGGTCCTTGCGACAGGCCTGAGTCTGAAGCCTGGCTCTGCTAGGCAGTCGGTCCACCACTTCAAACAAGTAATTAAGCTCTCCGAACCTCAACACTTTTTGTAAATAGGGTGACTAATCGTGCCTACTTCACAGGACCGTTTTGAGAAGTGAGATAATATACATTAAGAGCCTGTTTAGCACACAACGCCTGGAATACACTGTAAACTGTAGCCAAAAATAGGCAGACTGAGTTGGCATACTGAGAATCACGTGTAACTTTGTTTAGACCCAAATAAGGGAGTGCATGTTTTTTTGAAACACTTCTGTCATGAGAGTTCAGGAGACAGAGACCAGAATTACAGACACGTTAGAAAGACTGAACAACCAAAACATCTCTTGGTCATCCCTTAATAGTCTTGCCCTCTCACTGGACCACAGCAGCTAAAACGGAAAACGTTCTAATTGGTATTTTCTGTACTCAATTTTGTTCCATGGGCAGTTTTGTTCCAGAAGAGAAGCATAGAGTCATATTGCCTGGCCTTAAGACTCATGGATTTGATATTTGAACAAGGCCATTCATACAAAGGAGCTACTTTCATTTAAAAGAAACAATTTCTTTAGTAACCAACACAAGTCCAATGACAGGGAAACAAACCCCTTACACCTAACATATTAATGACACACGTTTTAAGCACACAAAATTTAGAAGTTATTATTGTCTCACCATACTTGTATCTTTAGAATCCTCAGTGAAGGAAAAGCTTTAGCATTTCTTTGGACTGTTTCCTACCATAGTTGCCTTAACACTTTTTTTTTTTTTTTTTTTTTTTAAGACAGAGTCTAGCTCCGTTGCCAGGCGCCAGGCTGGAGTGCAGTGGTAGGATCTTGGCTCACTGCAACCTCCGCCTCCCATGTTCAAGCAATTCTCCTGCCTCAGCCTCCCAAGTAGCTGGGACTACAGGTGCATGCCACCACGCCCAGCTAATTTTTGTATTTTTAGTAGAGACAGGGTTTCACCATGTTGGCCAGGATGGTCTCAATCTCTTGACCTCATGATCCGCCTGCCTCGGCCTCCCAAAGTGCTGGGATTACAGGCGTGAGCCACCATGCCCAGGCTTAACACTCTTTTTATACTCTCTCTTTATACCACTTTCTCTCTAACATGAAGTCATCCACAGACAGAAGCCCAGAAACATATTATTTTTTTTTTTAAAAAAGGAGCAAAACTCTAAAAGGATTATTAGCAAAACTCTAAAAGGATAATAGCAACATATTATGAGAAGACAGAAATAATCAGATAAAGAGAAATGTTTTTACTTGTGCTAATTCTCAATGCATTAGATTGAGTGGTCCATGTGGAATTGCTTTCAACAATTTCTGACACCCACCCCCAACCAAATTTCTTTGTTTCAACCAAACAGCTCTGCAGGTTGCTCAGGCCCAGCCTCCAAACTCAAGTGTGTATCTTCAAAGCACCCGGGGGAGGCAGAGTCAGTGCAATGAGAATTTGAAGCAATCCAGAGTCCAAGATTATTCAAATTCTACTCTTTGGTTTTCTTCTCTTACTTGTTTCTTCCCCACTCCCCTTCTGCTAAAAGATAACTAGTGTACCTCTTCTAGATACAAAATTTTGAATTCAATTTGAAAAGGACACTATTTAAGAGAGGTCATAAACCAACAACAGTAATAACATACAAGTTACATGTAAGTACAGGACGGCGCTGTCAGAACCCAGACTGTTGTCCACCTGCACGGTCACACGGAAAATGCCCACGTTCTGATAGACGTGTTTGATCCCATCTTCCATGGAGCTGAGATTCACGTAAGACACCGCGATACCATCGCCGAAGTCCACTTGGATAAGTGTCCGCTGAACGTCACCCTGAAAAACAGCCCAACATCAGAGGGAAGGAGTCAATTTCTGGCTGTACCTGCCTTGGTGACTGGGGACTGGGGCTTGGGCTAGTCCCCGGCTCAGGCATGACGGCAGCCCTGGCTCACTCCTATAGCTAGGAGCATCTGCCTGCCTTTGACAGAATCCCTGTGACATTCCCTGGCAGGTAAGCATTTGCTATGATGGATATACTCCAAATCTGAAGGACACCAACTACTGTAAGTTTCAGAGGTTTGAAAATTAATAATGCTTCATTATCAGTTGCAGCATGATATTCAATTCCTCCAAAGGCTTTGGTAACAGTCTTAGCACCCACAAAGATAAAAGGTGTACACACACAACTTAAAAAATTTAGCCTACCTGACAAGGTCATGGACCACTCCACTTCCTGTGTCTTCAAGACCACCCCTCAACCCAAATCCCCCTCATTATTTCTTGTTCCCTAATTGTATGATAGGAAGGATGAAAGACACCTTGCCTGATATCTGATACGACACTGGACTCAGCCCTATTATTAGTTAAGATAATAATGGTTAATTCTTTTATGCTTTAGGATTTCAAACTATCCAAAGAACTCATGTTATTCTTCACAGATTCTTAGTCTAGTCTGGAGAGAGGGGTAGGCAATCTTCCCCTACTTTACAGATGAAGATGCTGAAGTCAAAAACGATGTCATCACTTGTTCAAGGTTAACACAGCTAGTAAGTGGCAGTCCTGGGATTCGAACCCACCTTTCTGGACTTCCAGATCATTCGTTACAGAGAGAATATAGCACTGTGGGCAATCAAGACTCCCCTGGGCATGAATTCTCATGTGCCATTAACAAGCTAGATGACTTCATGCAAGTCATTCAGCCTCCTTCAGTCTCAGTGACATATCTATGAGTTGGGCTTAATAATATCTTACTGTCTTAAAAGGATTGTTGTAAAAAAACATATGGCCAGGAATGGTGTCACACGCCTGTAATCCAAGTACTTTGGGAGTGGGTGGATCACCCGAGGTCAGGAGTTCAAGACCAGCCTAGCCAACATGATGAAACCCCAACTCTACTAAAAATAAAAAATAAAATAAAAAAAAAAAAAATTAGCTGGGCGTGGTGGTGGGTGCCTGTAATCCCAGCTACTTGGGAGGGTGAGGCAGGAGAATCACTTGAACCCAAGAGCCAGAGGTTGCAGTGAGCCGAGAATGTGCCATTGCACTCCGGCCTACGTGACAAGAGTAAAACTTTGTCTCAGAAAAAAAGAAGAAAACAGGTAATTAATTGCAGATGTATTAGTAATCTGTAACATGCTACGAAAAAATAAATGACTATATATCAACATAGTAAAAGACCTACAATATCCGTTTAAAGAGTAATTGAAATTGTATGATTTCAAATTTTCCATGGGTAGGCAGAAAAAGATACATTCTGCACCGTAAAACCCCAGACCTGTAAAACAAGAAATGGCCTTCGGAACAAGAGTTTGGATTCTTAAGGAACAAAGTTGCTTAGACCCCGTTGACAAAAACCAGCTTCCCTCACACACAGTCCATCCTTTAACAATTTGTTGCTGTTGTTAGCCTTTCCCACCTTCAGAAAACAAAAACGACAAAAACCTTTGAACTAGAGATGTATTTTCGATTAAGTTGGGTTCATATGGTATCATATTTTTTGAAAAGGCCAAGTTTAAAATGTTGACATTTAAAAGATTAATTCACAGGGAAAAGAAAAGCAGTTCAAATCCTATGAATCTGTGTGACCTAATCCTTTGCTCTATGCCCAGCCAAGCACTGTGTGTGGGGCCCACGGCAGTGGACTCTCGGTAAGTACATAGGCACAAATTCTCCCCTAGGGTGAAAAGAGAAATTCCATTCAAAACTACAAAATAAATATCCACAAGCCCAGACATCGTGTACTTACTTGAATTCCCTTCACTAATAAATATAAATGTCAACTATTCTTGCTGAGTGTCCTTCATTTAAACAACCAAAGTGGACTGATGAATTTCTCTTCTGTTTCCAGTTAGTGTCCACTCCTAGGCTTTCAAAAGAGTTGCAGGGAAGCCAGCCCTAGGTGTGGGCCGGGGAAACAGCCAGCTTTTGAAACAAGTATCTTTGGGAAACAGCAAGGGTACTGAGGTTAACCATAGAATACAACATGGAAGGCAGTTTCCATTAGAGGCAAGGGTGGACATGAGGGAAGAGGGAAAGAGACAAGTTTAATGTACTTTGTGGCGACAGAGTGAGCATCAGGCAGAGGCCATCTTTTGCAAGAGGACAGAGGGAAATTCACACCTTCAGCCAACTCTACTTCAGTCTCCACTGAGAGAGAGCAGACACTCACACTGCCGGGAAGAACACAACTTTGGCTGCCATGACTGAGTCTATCTTACCTTGCCCATTCTGTCTGCCCTTCTTCACTTCCTGGATCTGTTGTCCTAGATCGAGACCAGTTACATAAAACCCTTCCAATTTCTAACTCTCTTGATGTCTGCTGTCTGTCTTGCTGCATTTTTTCCCCATGATAGGATTCTTCATTCTCCATTCATGGAATGTTCTCTGTGTATTATAACGGGTGAAAGGATGGAGCTACTCAATGCTTGGACTAGTGCCTCAGTAAGGCTTCCATTACAGAGTCAGGCTATCGGGGTGTTAGGTAAGGTATTTTACATATAATTATATGATAGATCATAATTTACATGCTACAATCAGGTATTAGATTTAACATGCACCTGACAGCCCCTCAAGACAAAGGCATGGGATACTCCGATCGAATGTGAAGTCCCCAGGACCTCCTGATGTTGGGACAGGCCTCTGGGCTTGGACTCTGCACCAGGAGATAAGAATGTCAAGGGGCCATGTATGACAGCAGAAGGCAGCAGAGTGTATTCCTGCTGTCACTTTCCACTAAAGAGGAACAAATTGGATTCCATGCCTTTCCCTTTAGGAGCTCTCAGGTGAGTGGTAAGACTAATACCATTGTAGCAGCCTCACATTGCGGCTCATCTGTCATCAGATTCTGGTGTTCCTGGGCTCAAATGACCACTGGAAGCAAGGATGCCAGCCTCTTTCAGAGAATAAGAAACCCAGCAAAGGGATGACAACCTAAGTCCTAATAACTATGTGATGGGGGCATACTCACCCCACTGGCTCTCTGATCATTCATTCAGTCACCCAACTGTCAGATATTTATTGAGTGTCTATCTCATGTCAGTCACCAAATGGAAAACTATTATTAAGTAAGCAATAACCAACCAAACAAAACAAATATGGCCTGGGCTTTCATGATCTTACAGACCACTACTGAAACACATGTACTTTTTTACATAATCACACAAATAAAAATTATTGCAGGGGTGACATGAAGGGAAGATACATGGAGTTCTAAGCTTTTGCAACACACAGGGATGGAGAGCTGAGGTGATTGGGAACTTCAAAGAAGGCTTCCAAGGGGAAGTTATGTCTGAGCTGAGACGACCTGAAAGAAGGTAAATTAACCAAACGAAGGAGATGAGTAACTGAGGCACAAATGAGAGACAGCAGGCCAGGGGAACCGAGGAAACAGATGTGCAAAGAGCCTGTGGTAGAGGGAAATAGTACAGATGAAGAAATTGAAAGAGGCAGAGGAAAATGAGAGAGAGAACAAGCACATGTTACCTGGCCAGGTGTGGTGGCTCACGCCTGTAATCCCAGCACTTTGGGAGGCTGAGGTGGGCAGATCACGAGGTCAGGAGTTCAAGACTAGCCTGACCAATATGATGGAACCCCGTCTCTACTAAAAGTAAAAAAATTAGCTGGGCATGGTCACACACCCCTGTAGTCCCAGCTAGTCAGAAGGCTGAGGCAGAAGGAAGAATCGCTTGAATCTGGGAGGTGGAGGTTGCAGTGAGTCAAGTGAGCCACTGCACTCCAGTCTGGGTGATGGAGCAAGACTCCATCTCAAAACAAACAAACAAACAAACAAAAAACCCAAAAAACAAACAAACAGAAAAACATGTTACCAAATGAGGTTAAAGATAAAAATACCTTTTAGGACTTGTGGGTCAAATTCTTGATTTTTATCTTTCTTCTAAGAGCAATGAAAAGCCATTAAGTGTTTTAATTTTTAAATGTTTAAAAAAATCTAATTGATAAGAATTACACATATTTATGGGGCATATGTGATATTTCAATACATGTATATAACGTGTAGTGATCAAATCAGGATAACTGTGATATCTATAACCTTGAACCTTTTTTATTTCTTTGTTGGAAACATTCAAATTCCTTCCCTCTAGCTATTTTGAAACATATAACAAATTGTTAACAATAGCCACTGTGCTATAGAACACTAGAACTTATTCCTCCTGTCTGTGATTTTGTTCCCATTAACCAGTCTCTCCCTACCCAGACTCTGGTAGCTACCATTCTACTCACTATTTCTGTGAGATCAACTTAACAATTACAGCGTTCTAAGGATTTAAGGAAAGATGGCATGTTATTTTTAACTCAAAACAATCACTCTGGCCAAGATATGGAGATGAACTAGAAGGGGGTCCAAGTGTGCTGGAAAGCCAATTTGGAGGTATCCTAGGGTAGACAATAAATTTTAAAAAAATTTTAAAAACCTCCAGCACAAAATTATATGCACCTTTCTGTCAAAATTAACTCTTACAGTTTATTGGTTTTGAAATCAGTGATTCTGAGCCTTTGATAACAACATCTCTTTTAGGAGTTTTATTTCTTAATCTGGACGCCCAAGTGCTACCCAAGACCCAGCCACTGTTTTGAGTCCCCTGGGACGATTTCTAGTCCTGTTGCAGTCTGAAGTCTGCAGCTGACGCTGGGCTATAGCAAAGGCCAAGAATCTCTAATTCTGATTCTCGAATGTTAGGTTTTCTTGTGGCCGGATTCATCTTAAAATGAACAGTACAGCACAAGCTAATGTTATTCTTATTTGATTTTCATATGATGAAAAAGCTTTACCAGGATGCCTTAGGATTGTAAGTGCTGAGAGTGGGAATGGAAAG